GTCTCAAATTTTTAGGCTGACAAAAACATCAATGCCACATCACTTGATGGATCAATGCCACATCACCATCACCTCATCACCCAGTTGATCAGTATCACCTCATTGCCACATCACTAGCATGTCATTTGTCATTGTCATGTCAAATATTGTTACTTTCAATTGTGCCTTGGCCAAGCTCGAACTCGCAACCTCACACCCCTTAGTGCCTTTGTGTCCACCTTATTAATTGTTAGTTGAGCTAAAAGGAATTTTCAATCTTAATTGATAAATTAAATATATAATATTTAACCACACACATATATTAATAAATATATTATTTATTTAACATTATATTTATGAATATGGTGAAATTAATTTTTATATAATAATTATTTTTATTATATTTTATTTTAAAAAATTATTTTTTATAATAAATTTAATATTAAATTGAACATTATTTTATTATCATAATATATTATATTATAATTGTATTTATATAATATATAATTTTTTAAATTTCTAATTTTTTATTTAATAATATTTTTTATTTTTATTTTTATTTTCAAATAAGAATAATAAAGTATACAGTTTACCTTGGGAGGGGAATAATAGCTGGAAACAGTTGCTAATACCCCATAGGCTGAGGAGCAAGAGGAGGAATTCGCCCGAGGAGGGGTTCGCGTCAGATTAGTTAGTTGGTGAGACATAGATGTAGAAGGATCCGTTTGGGAAGTAAGAAGCCCCCTTGACATCTCTTCATCTGCAAAGAATTCTTGATGGAGAAACATAGAGACAAAAGACTGATCTTATTGATTGTGAACCAATATAAGGTTATTTACATAGAGGGATAGAAAAAATTGCAAAAAACTGAACAATTGTACAATATCTATCTTATGTAACATGTTGGACTCCTGACGTATGTGAAGAAGTGTGGTTCATTTGATAAATTCCAACCTCTCTATTTATTTCTGAGATGTTTGGATTTTTCTATAAGAATAATTTAAAATAGTAAATTATTTTAAATTATAATTTTTAAATTATTCATTTATAGCATAATAATAAATTATTAAATAAATTATTTGTAAATATATATTATAAATAATAAAATAAAGTTAAAATTTTTTTTGATGGAATAGCAATGGAATTATGATAGAAAGCTCTCTGACATATTTTTTTATCACAAATTCCATCACTAAATTAAAATAAGATATTCTAAAAATTAACAATAAGATTTTCTATTGGTAAATTCCATCATTAAATTATTTCTAATAGATTAGTGAAGAATAATGATAGAATTTTAGTGACAGAATGTTTTACGTCACTAAATTCCATCGCTAATTCGCTATTTTTTATAGTGAACTATCTCATAGTCACCTATTAGTTTCTCAATGTTAGAAATATCTTGAGAGGATTCAGCACGGTTAGAAGGTACCTATTTAGAAAGTACTTGTTCAGGTCTCTTTTGTCACTTCTCTTGCTTCTTCTTCTTGTTAGCCCTACACAATCTTTAAATTTCCTTGTTAGAAAGGCTCAATTCAGCTTTAAAGAAGTCTTTAGAAAAACAAATATGCACAATATAGGGGAGAAATAAAAATAGGAAATAGCAACAAAGAACAATGCAGCTAAAAAGAAAATAATAAAGTTATTTATTCTCCCTAGCAATGGTGCCAAAACTTGATTAGACTACGCAAGTGTACATGATCAATATATTTGAACTTATTAAATAATAATTGACTAAGAAAACTAAATAATAAATTGAAATAATTAAAACAAAACAAGGAAAGAATTAATCAGTGATTCACTCAATAATGAAGCGTGAAGGATTGGGTTCACCTATCGGGGTATCCTACTCTTACTCACCAAAACTATTCCTGCTCAATTATAGCGACAATCATTATGAAAATGACTTAATTATCTTCCAGCAAATTAAGTTGTATTTAATTAAAGTCAAATTAGCATAAACTAATTTTAACCCTTTAATTAAACAATTAAGTTATAATTAATGCTGCCACAAACTCCTAGATTATTCCTAATCTAGTTTATGATTACTTTCCTAAGCCTAGGCTCACTTGTCTCCTTCTAGTATGTCGAGCGATCCTATGGATAGAGAATATACTGATTAGATATAAACTCAAATATGAAAACAAAGAGAAGAAAATGTAATTGATAAAATACTCAAAAAGAGTCATAAAACATTAAATCCAAAGCCACAGGAATAAATGGTAAAGCGAGAAAAGAGTAGAAAAATCCCAGCTAGGCTACACCCTATCCTGACTGGCGAACTAAAAAATAGATATAAAATCAGCCACAACAATCCCCAAATCCATCAAACCATGAAGCAAAGAACAAAGATGAGAATAAAAAATCACTCATAGATTACATAGATAGCTCTCAAGCTCCATACTCAGCCTTCCGAATTACTTCCTAGAGAATGAATGTCCTCCTCATGTGTTTCTAGGGCCTATATATATATATATATATATTTTTCCCGCACCTTAAAGAGCCATAATCTTGATGCTTTACATCTCTCTTTGGTGAAGTCTGATGGTCCATGCTTATTCTGGTTGAATTTGAGAGCCATCAACATGTGAATTTTCTCTATTTGCACACAATCATGCATAGGAATTTGGATTCAGTGACTAGAATTAATACAGGTATTGAGTGCCTATACCATCTAAACCATTAAAATATAAATCAACGATTCAGATAAATTCACTCATTTATTAATCTTAAGTGAAATATAAATTCATAACCATTGATCTAGATTTTAATGGTTCAAATGATACAGGCATTCAATACCTATATTAAATACAGTCATTGAATTCAAATCTCATGCATGGAGCATTCCCATCCGCACATGGACGAGAGGTGGATGCGTGTCTTTAAATGCAACTTTCATCTGTAGTGGGACGTGGTTCCATTAATCTTGTCCTCACGCGGTCGTAACTCGAAAGGGGGAATTCCCCTTTTTGGTCTGCAAATGGTTGAACTTCTTCTTGATTTATCCATCCTCAGATGAAGATTGTTGAACCTAATGCTGAATTCTCTTATTTTAGTCACATTTTTTGGTCCTTTTCCTTCTTTTCCTTTATTTTGACATATAATAATTCGGTGAGATTATATGAGTTATTTTTCCTTCAATTTATCATAATTAATTGGTATATTTAAGTCTAAAAGTCCACAAAAATCACATAAATAAAGGGTTTATCGGGCATTGGGTGAGCTAACTGGAGACCATGGGAAGTATCTTGGCATCCCCCTCCTTTATAAGGGGCTGTTTGGTTGGAGGAAAAAAATTTCCCCTCTCCTCCCCTTCCAAAATCCCCCCCCCAAATTGGGGGAATCCATCCCTCCCCATCCCTCCCCCTCCTCGCTCCTCCTCCTCCTCCCCCTCCTCGCTCCTCCTCTCCCCTCACCTCCCTTCCCCTTCATCCCCTCCCCTCCCCTCAAACCAAATGCAATCTAAGAGTCTCCTATAATTATTTCAAGCCTATCTTGTGTAAAGTGCAGAAGAAGTTATTAGCCATCCTTATTCTTTTGCTAGGGAGGTTCATTTGATGAAGAAATCTTTTTGCATCTTTAATCATTCTCCACCTGACTTTATCTTAAAAGCTGAATCATTGATTTCGCTCTCCTTTTGTTTTGCGCCTAGTTTGTTGTACTATTTATGTATGTGCAATTATTGAATGAATTTCGATGTTTGATTCCAAAAATCACACAAAAATATAAGTCAAGATTTTTCACCAGAATCATCATCAGAAGAGAGGAATCAGGAGAACTACACATATATCCTTAGATATTTTCAAGGTTAAATGTATTAGTCTAATATTTTTTTTCCCCATTAGAAAACGTGAAAAATTCGTAAATGGCGTGAGCTGTAAACCAAAAAGTAATGTTAGATATCCATATCATCATATGGAAATAGGAAAAATGACAATTAAGTCCCAGAATTTTCAATTAATAACAGTTATGTCTCCAATAAAATTTAAAAAAAAAAGAAGTTAAAAATATCAATCCAAAAATTACAAACTCAAGAGTTTCAATTATAAATAAATATTTAAATATCAAATATAATTCTTATTTTGTAAGAATATTTTTTATTTGTAACTGTTGGAATTGATATTTACAATTTATTTTTAAAAAAATTTATTTAATACTTAACTGTTATTAATTAAAAATTCTAGCACCTAACTGTGACACTCCCATGAATATATACTGGAAACCAAGTCTGGGTCCCATATCTCACAACTAGGATATGATACTCGGATTTGGATCACATGCGTGTCCTAATTACACGCATTGAATGAGTGTCTCCATGTGGCAAAATTATATGCTCTCAATATGATCAACGGTTTTAAGAAACTTTACCGCCACAAAAGCTTGCAACACTGAATTTGATTCCCTTTTTTGGGTCGAATGCCTTCATTATTCGGTGCCGAGATGAAAGAGCGTAAACACCGACGACTTTCAGGGTCCCAAATCTGACAACACCATCTTCCTTCGGCCTTAGCATTGGAGGGTTTCCAGATCTGAAAAAGCCGACCAAATCAGTGTCAAGCGAGTGCTCTCTTCATCTGAGCAAACTAATCAAAGATCATCAACGCTTAGTTCTCAGTTCAGCCTTGGTAGGAACTAAGACTGATTGAGATTCACATGCATAGACAAAAAGCGTCATGAAGCTAAATTCAATTTGTTGGTGCGATCCATTTGTATAAATGGAAGATGCAAAACAGAGCACACAACATCACAAGGTTAATTAGAGGGCACTTTCATTATTTATTAGGAAAAAGGTCCACGTTCAAGGGCGTCGACGAGATAGAAGAATAGGACACGACAATGTTGAAGAAAACTCCACTTGGCATGGATTGCAAAGGAACACAGAGTATAGCAAAGTAGATGGCGTGCAAGATGATTGTTTAAGAAAGTTAAGAGAGAGAGAAGGATTAAGTGAATGCCGAATTTGACTACACAAAAATCTTTGCAGCCATTGACTGTATTAAAAGCATATGATTTTGCCACGTGGAGACACTCATCCAATGCCCGTAGCTGAGACACTCATGGGATCCAAATCCTATGATACTCTCGGCATTCTCTCTCTAAAAATAACTCCTCTCGTCAGCGCCCTTTTATCATCACAGATCCATTATTTGCAGTTTTATTGCGAAGATTCTATAATGATGAAGTTTTCACTCCTGCCCATCATTGTATTTCTCACAGTGAGTAGCTTCCACTTAATTATTCCTTTCTTATTTTCATTTTTTATATGTTGATAATTACATATGAAATAATGTTTATAGGTTGAGCTTGGAGCTGCACATGCTTCCTTAAGTCCTGAACTTTATTGGAAGTCCGTGCTTCCCACTACTCCCATGCCTAAATCCATCACAGATCTCCTCCACTCCACTGGTTAGTATTGTTACAATTTCAACATTTACATCACCAATACAATAGGCTTCTTTGAAAGTGCTTTAATGCATTTAATGTTGGCAAGTGATCAGGTGGAGGCACTGCAATCCATGTTAGGGGCAAAGACAGCACTAAAGCAGGCTTCATAAAATATGCTAAGGCCAGCGATAAAGCTGCCTTCCAAAACTATGCTAAGGCCAGTGATAAAGCTGCATTCCAGAACTATGTTAAGGCGAGTGGCAAAGCTGCCTTTCAAAACTATGTTAAGGCCAGTGATAAAGCTGCCTTCCAAAACTATGCCGAGGCGAGTGGCAAAGCTGCCTTTCAAAACTATGTTAAGGCCAGTGATAAAGCTGCCTTCCAAAACTATGCTGAGGCGAGTGGCAAAGCTGCCTTTCAAAACTATGTTAAGGCCAGTGGTAAAGCAGCTTTCCAAAACTATGTTGAATCCGAAACCCAAGCCCATGAAAACCCCAACGCAGCTCTAATCTTCTTGGAAAAGGACTTGAAGTCGGGTCATAAAATGAACTTGCAGTTCACGCAGACCTCTAACCAAGCTTCCTTCCTACCTCGTGAAGTTGCAAAATCCATTCCCTTTTCTTCAAGCAAGGTAGTTTCAGATTTATCCTACCGTACACATGCACACACGATCCATTGATAATCTGAAAAAAGAGATCTAACCATGGTTATTTGCTAACTTATATAATTCATTTAATTATTTTTTATGGTTAAATGGCAAACTGACCTTTAAACAATAAATCCAAGAGTGCTTGGGACCTAAACTTATTTTTGGTGCAATGTTTTCCTTCAATATTTCAAAATGGTTCAATATTGTTCTTATCATTAACAAATATTAGTTTTGACTGTTAATTGATCAAAAAATTATAAAAAATGACATAAAAATTTACAAAAAAAGACCGAGAAAATTTTCTCTTGATCCATTTTTGTAATTTTTTGTCATTGGTTGTAATTTTATAGTCCTTTTCTGCAATTTTTGGTAATGTTTGAGGTTCTTTTCTTTAATTTATTAATCACATAACGATTAAAGTTAACTTTTATTAACGATAAAGGTGGCATTGTACTATTTTTTAAAGTTGAAAAACATTGTATCAAAAGTAAGTTTAAAGTTCCTAATGGTTTTGGACTTATATAGTTTAAAGATGAAATTGCCTTTTGATCCTATTTTTTGTTTGTTACTTAACATACAGATGGCTGAAATATTGAACAAGTTTGGTGTAAAGCCTGGGTCAGAAGATGCTGACGTTATGAAAAATACAATTAAAGAGTGTGAAGAAACTGCAAGCATTAAAGGAGAGGAGAAATACTGTGCGACATCATTGGAATCCATGGTTGATTTCAGCACTTCCAAACTTGGGAAAAACGTGGAAGCTTTGTCCACTGAAGTGAAGAAGGAAACAAAGATGCAAGAATACACAATAACTCATAATGGAGTGAAGAAGGTGGGAGAGGCTAAAGTGGTGGTGTGCCACAAGATGGATTATGTGTATGCTGTGTTTTATTGTCACAAAATAGAGACAACAAGAGCTTATACGGTGTCATTAGAGGGGGCTGATGGGAGCAAAGTGAAAGCGGTATCTGTTTGTCACACAGACACATCAGAGTGGAACCCAAAACATCTAGCCTTTCAAGTGCTAAAAGTGAAGCCAGGAAGTGTTCCTGTGTGCCACTTCCTTACTCAAGAACAAATTGTGTGGGTTCCTAAACAAACCTGATCGAGCATCAATCTCTATGCTACGCTTGATAATGAAAATGCATGGTGAAACTCACAAATTTTGTGTGGATTAATATTGCACTACTTTATCTCTCTCCTCTTGATCAAGACTAGCTAGTTATGATTGATAATCCATGTCTCACTCAAATAAGATCGTTATGGTGCATATAAAAGTAAGATATCTGTGCAATTAAGATCTTTATGCATGTAAAAGTAAGACCTCTAAGCAGGTATGTTTGAAGAAGGCGTGTGTCGTGTTTTGTGTTATAGTTCTGATATCAATAAAACATCATGTTCGCATGTATTTAATAACAAAGGAATCAACCTCATAGTTTGCTAATTTTAAGTACTACAAAATACTAATTTAATAATATAATTGTTGCTTCAATTATATAAAGAAATGAAGTAGTGATAAATTGAATGATAAATCTTAAATAAAAAATAAAATATAGTTATTATGGTGTTACTTATAAATTGTTGCTGACTCCATATTAAGAAAAAGAATATTTTTTAATGTTTTATTAAGAAATCAATTCTAATTAATGTTACATCATATATAATATAGAATGCTATATTACATTATATACATATATATAGTTTTTAATTATCTAATATTTTAAGTGCACAGTTGGCTTGTGTTTAATAACAGAATAATCAACTACATATACATAGTTTACCTTTCTCAGCCATTTGGCTAAAATCAAGTGAACTATATATATAGTGTTTTTGTTTGTTTGCTTGTTTTGGGAATAACGGACAATTTATTGGAAACATCAGAAGTCCGTACAAACAAAGAGCCCACGTAAAACACTAATGGGCCCATCTGAAAACAACATGAAAACATAACAAAGGAAAAAAGCCCTCTCTTTTCTGATGTAGTTATAAAAAAAAAAAAAACAGTCCCTCAAAGAACTGGACCATGGGAAACCCACCCACATGCAAAATCACATACCTGCTAAAATGAAGACCTGCAAGCAGTGGCAGATAAAATTTCAGTTATGACCCCGACATTTAGATAAAATTTCAGTTATGGCCTCCCCGTGTGATGATTTCTGGATTCATCCCTGTCTACAAGCAACAAATGCAACCAGAGCAACCAGAGCATGAACAAGTTTATAGAACCATCTCCATGAGAAAATGTACCAAGGTATTGAAAAGAACGAAAGGTTCTCAGTGTGGCTCGGAAGCCAACAATCAGCAACCAACTTTTGACATCCCATGGGTATCGACAACTTCCACAGCAGAGAATTCGATGGAAAAAAATTCCAAGGGACAAGGTGATACAACTTGAAATAAAGAGAAGAAAAACAGCACAACAAGAGAGTAGCCTGAACCAAAAGAGAAAAATGTGACACTACCCATTTCACAGCCTTCTAAGACCAGCTGAGTCATGGTGCTGCCAGGTGAGCTTTTTCGGCGGCTAAGCTCACGAAACCCGTATCTGAACCTAAGTCTGAGGCATCCGGAAAGTGAATATCATCCCTCTATTCAGCATAGCGTCAACGAGGATTTCCATGAGTGCCTTAGCCCGTCGCTGATGGTAAAGAACTAGCTGCACCAAACTTGTTAGAGGAAGGACCATTAAGGTCAAGGGTGTCAAGAAACAGGAATTCTTCCGTTATCGTTGAAACCTAGCCAATCAGCAGCATTATGATCCACCAAAACTCTGAGACGCATGTAAGTATCAGTGAGTCTGCTGTGAATCAACAAAGCGTCACTTTCATCAGCTGGCTAAGATACCCTTAGATCAGGATACATAGCCTGAAGCTATGGCAAAAAAGAAGATGGAGGATAGTCAATAACACCAACTGTGCATAAGGCTTCCAAGAGAGGATCAGTAAATCCATGAAGGCGTATATAACCATACATCCAATGAACCCAATTGAAACAAGAGTCCATCCATCAATTGCTGTGCTCTATTGCCATGAAACGGAAGGTACGCTGACAGACATTATGCTCCAGTAGAATGAAGAGGTCACCTGCTAAAATGCACAGCAATTGATGCCCTGCAACATGCCATTTGACATCGATGGAAAAACATGTTGAAAGCCTGCTCTGAAAAATTGTAGAAGTTCCTTGTTTCCGTGGGTTGATTCATTTTGGCTATCAGTGAGGGAGAAGAAAGCCGATGAGTCCAAGGAGAGATCTCTAGTGGATTTATAGTAGGTGAAAGAGCAAACAAAGCATCCAAATTAAATCTAACCACGGTTGATGCATTTTCCAAGGGAAGTGAAAGAACTTCCACGTGAAGCAGCAACACAAACTCGAGTCGCAAATACTGGAAGCGAAGACTAACGCTGGCGGAAGGGAGTAAGCTCACACGTGATCACAAAAGTAACCCACAAACTACAGTTGAGCGAAATCACGAGTTTTATTTGGATGCTCATCACAGCCATGAGAGGTAAGCCATTTAAATTTTATTTGAATAATTCAGATTTAAATTATTATTATTATATATTATATTTTTTAAAATAAAAATTTATAAATAATTATAAATAATTTTAATAAATTTTTTATTTTTAATATGATCTAGAATTAATTTTAAAGGTTTAATTTAATATTAAAATTTTTATAATTATTATATATTAATTATTTAAATATACTCTGTATAGTCTAAATTAATATTAAATTAAATTTAAACTGTACAAAATATATTTAAATATTCAATATATATTAATTATAAAAATTTTAATATTAAATTAAATTTTTTAAATTAAATCTAAACTATATTAAAAATAAAAAAATATTGAAATTATTTTATAATTTTTATAAATTTTTACTTTAAAAAATAAATAAATAAATAATATATATAATGATAATAATTTAAATTTGAACCATTTAATTACAGTGATAAACAGGTCGAAATCACCACAATCAGGCACTAGCGCATGCAGAGACAATCAATTATTGCCACGTGAAGCTACTGCTTCAATATCTTCTGAGTCCGAATTGTCAAATCAAAGTCATCAGTATACCAATAGTACCCTTCAACTTTAACTCTGGTCCAAAGGAAGAAACCTCCCAGACTTAATGACCCCAAAAAGAGATCCGGATATCTTTCCAGCCCATCAAAGAAGTCTTCATGCATGACGAGGAGTTATGACCGACATGAAAGCATCAAGAGCAAAGTCGACCAACATTCTCAAAGGGGAAAGAAACTCGAAACGGATGACTATTATGAGAAAAGATCACCAAAAATGAAGGAAGAGCAAAAAGACAAGAAATGGAGACTGACGTTAGAGAAAAGGCAAGACTCATCGAAAAATATAAAAGCACCCAACTTGTTACCTATGAAAGATGCAACAGACTTACTGCAATAACTAAGCGAGAGACCAATCACTCGACGCCAAACAGAAAAATTACTGGGGAAAGAGTTAGGTGGATAAAAGAAAGATTCATCCCACCAAAAACTGCAAGAGTAAAACCTTGAAACAACCAGACACCCTTATCTAAAATATACAACAAAGAAGGACCAGAATTCTGAACAGCTTTAACAGAACATGAAGATGCCAATAAACATTGAATAAAGCTAATTGAAGTTTGGAAGCATGTAACAAACAGGAATCTAAAAGCTTGAACACAATAAAGTGAGGCTGACAAAAAGAAACATGGGAGGAACGATACCTAGGGAGAAACATGTTGAAAAAATAACCAAAAAACTCCTAAACGAGAGAAAACAACAAAGAGGAATCACCATGAAGCCTCAAGAACCTCCATGAACTCACAGAAACGAGATCTCCTTTTTCATTCTTCCTTCCTCCTTCCTACATACTCTCCCTGATCCTTATTATAAGACACTTTTAGTCATTTTATATATCTTAAAAAAATTAATTTTTTTCTTGAAATCATAAAAAACTAAGATGTACTTTTATTTTTATCCTTGAATTTAAATAACAATACAATTATATTAAATACATTTATGCTAATAAAAAAGGATAAAATTGAAAAAAATTGTTTAATTATTTACAAGGTGTTCTATACTTTGACCAAACATTACTTCTAGATAGTATCTTACAAATGGGATAGGAGGGAGTATATAGTTTGCTAATTTAAGTGCACCAGTCTACTTTACTAAAATAACTTAAGCCATTTGCTTAGATACACTATAAGATTTATATATTCTTAATTTATCTTCTATCCTCTAGATGTGAGACTTCTTTCTTCATCTCTAATATTTATCTACCACTTTTCTTTTGTTATTTCTCTTAGTTTTTTTTTTATTTTGTTCTTCTTCTTGCTGGCCTTCTACTCTTTTTAATCTAAGAAGGCCTTAGGCTTATTTAATTTCTTTTTCTTCTTCTTCTTCTCTATTTCTTTTTTTTTAATATCGTGTTTGTATCTTTCATTCTTTCTTTCTTTCTTTTTTATTTTTTTTTTGCCAAAATAGTCTAAGCCATTTGGTTAGACACACTCAAAATTTTACATATTTTTAATCTGTCTTTTAGATATGAGACTTCTTTCTTTATCTCTCATATTTTCTCTGCTACTTTCCTTTTTTATTTTTCTCTGTTTTTTAATTTTGTTCTTCTTCTTACATGGGTTCTATCATGCCCTAAAATTTAAGCTTAATCAGCATGAGATATATGCACAAGCACACATCCCTAATGCCTCAATTAAAGAAAATTCTAAATTAATTCATTGACATACTATTAGCATAATTAAATATACCTATGTTACTTGTCACATGGATCAAAATATTAAACTTCTTGTAGAAATTTCAGTAGCATCTCCCCTATAAATGGAACCTCCCAAAATCTTTGCAACAGTTTTTACAAAATAACAATGATAATATGGAATTCTGCTCCCGGGCAACAGACAAATAAATAACTTCATGAAAGATCAAGACTCTAACTATAGTTATCATGGAGCACCCTAATCCATGTTCTCAAAACATAATACATAAGCTTTAGAATTTACATCAAAAGGAAAGGAAGTTCAAAAAATAAATACCCACCACTAGTACAAAATATGAGTTTAACAGCTCACTTTTAACATTAGTTGACACGCAAATGCTATTGCAAGTGAACACGATGGAATTTTTGTAATTAAACAAGTGATTGATTGATTTTTAACATTGGGTATGAATATACCCGATGTTGTTTATTATTTTTAACATTGGGTGTACCGCACAATCGATGTTAAGAGTAATTAACAAAAGTAAAAAATTAATATCACTTTTAATATCAGATGCACTAGTAAAAAATAGAATTTTAATGACATATTTTTTATCACAGTTTGTCAAAA